TAATATAAAGTTTAAAATTAAAAATCATTTTTTTATATATTTATACTAAAAAAATTCTTTAGTAAAACCTGATTTATAACTATAAAAAAATTTAAAAAAAATTTTAAAAAATTTATTAAGAACATTAAATATAATATATATTGTTAATATAAAATTAAATATATATTTTATAATTAGACTAATATTAAAAAATTTGAATATAAAAATTTAAAATTTAATAAATATAAAACAGATTATACAATTTAAAACTTAATAGCTATTTTATAAAACTATTTTAAATTTTTAAAAAAACTTAAAAAAATTAATATAAAAATATAAATATAATATTATAGTAAAAATCAATCAAATTTTAGATTTGAATTTAAAATAAAAAAAACTTTAAAATAATTTAAATATAAAAGATTACAATTATATAAGTCAATATTATTAATAGAATATAAATTAAATTTCAAATTAAAAAATTTTATATAAGAATTTTTAAAAAAATTGGATATTTTTAAAAATCAACTTTCAAATAATTAAAATAAAAAAAAAATAAAAAATAAAAAATAAAAAATAATAATAGTTGATTATATTAAAAAAGTATATAAAGTAAAAAAATTAATATTTGAATTTATAAAATATGTTATAAAAAATTAATATTAAATTAAAAATTCAATTTAAATTATGATAAACTATATAATTTATAAAAATAATTTGCAGATTATAAATTTAATTTAAATTTATAATATATAATTTATAAAGATAATTTGTAGATTATGATTTTATTATATAAAGAAATCTTAATTTCAATTAATAATTAAGTAATATATATATATAATTTTTATAAATTATATTTAGAAACTTAATAATAAATAATTGAATTAAGAAGATTTATTTATAATATATAATTTTAATTATAATGGCTTGTTATAATTTAATAAATAAATAATTTTAAAAAATTTAATTAAGAATTTAAAAAAATTTTATAAATTATATTAATACAGTAAAAATTATAGAATATAAAATATAATAATATAATAATTAAATTTCAATTATCTATTAAAACTCTTACCTGATCATGTCCATTTTGCTAAAAATTTCTATATATGGTAATTTTGGTCAAAGAAAAATGTTTTATACTCTTTATTACAAGTAAGCCCCAGCTCAGAAACCCAAGAACACTAAAGACAACTAGTGCAGTGGAATGGAACCTCTGGTTGAAGTCTACTTAAGTTTAGAAGTCTTGTTTATCCTTCGGTTGTATAAGGAAAGGCTCATGGTGGTATACTTTGATTCTTTGATTCTTTTGCAATTCATATCTCCTTTTTATCATGAAAACTATTCTCATATATATTATTACAATCGCTATATTCATAAACTCTTTTCAAAAAATATACTCAAACAAAGTTGTAGGTTCTAATGTTTATTTTAATACAATCTTCACATACTTCTCTACCTTGTCATCATTTATTGCATTATCCAAAAAATTCTTAATCTTTTTTGATCCCAAAAATCAAAATCAGCTACTTCCTTCAATTGATCGATGTCTGACAACCGTTCAATTAAAATTCACTACATCACTTAAATTAAAACAACAAAACTGGTTTAAACCGGTTTGTTAATTCAATAATAATAATATTAACAATAACAATAACAATAACTGGCTCAAACCGGTTCACCTGTTTGATCCTTACTATAATAATAACAACTATCACAGTAAATAACTTCAAGTATATTCTACTATCCGTGTCAAGAAAAGAAGTATTAACAAATTGCAAAGAATTGGAGAGATGGGATAACAAGCCTGATTCAGGATTCTTTTGGAGATTTAATTTTTATTTTTATAGATTTTATAATTTACTCGACTTAGTTTCAGTTTTAATTAACTTTATTTTTTTTCTTTTTTCAAATTTCCAAAAATGTAAAAACTTTTTTTCTGAGTAGATAGGCATAACCGCTACTTCTTTTGTTTAGCAATTAGTATAATTTAAAATTTCTTTTCTATGCTAGTTAAACATCGTAAGAGTAGGCAAGCTAGCATTAAACTTATTGTATATTTTTGTACCTAAGAGATATTAATTCTTTTCAAAAGGTATGCCATAATATGTACGAAATAAATAAAGAATTGGTGTTTATCTACTTAAAAAAAAAATAATAATATAATAATTAAATTATTTTATAAAATTACTTTGAAAAAAATTTAAAAAATATAATATAATTTTTAATAAAATAATAATTATTATTATTAAATATTGTTTTAAAAAAGTAATAAATAAAAAATTGATAGAAAGAATTTATTAACTATTGTAAAAATTTTATATTGAATTGTATTTCTTGATATATTGTATATAATAATAAATATTTCTAGTATTTCTTGATATATTGTATATAATAATAAATATTTCTAGTATTTTTATTTTTATTATAAAATTATTCTTCATTAACAATAGTTACAAGTTATTGATATTATTCAAATCAAAATCATCGTTGGATTTTTTTTCTAAATTTAACCAGACATGGTGTGTCTTCTAATGATTACATATACTGTAGGAGTATTCAGAGAATTAAACTTTCCATATACATGATTCGATACTGGGGCATCATGTTATCTATTAGTGACGTTATTTTCTTTCAACTTGGCATTTTCGGTGGTGGCGTTGGTGCTTATTTTCTAGTTAAATCCTACTTTCTAGGCCTGCATTAGCATTTTCGGTTTTGATATTCTCAGCCTCGATCTCAGCAATTTCTTTTTTAAGTTTAGGGGATTTCGGCAATCACCTTTCTGGTCTAGTGATTTCGGCACACCTTTTTTCTATAAGCCGTCTTTTGTAGTTATGGTAATAATTTTTTTTTTTTGTGTATTTGTTTAATATATCTGCTTACCTAATGAAAGTAACGAATTATCCGAAGGGATTACATTCGCATGGCATGACATCCATCACAAAAATATACTGAGAAGTTCGCAGTCATAGACATTGATTTGTAATAAAGAAACAAAGAAACAATCCTATCTATTTGTTGTTTCATACCACAGGAGGTTTCTCGTTTGTCCAGAACTGTCTGTATCAACCTTATCTGCATTTGAATTCATTTGTTTATCGATTGAATGGTTATCGGTTACATGTACAGTATGTGAAATATTTAGCAACATAATGAATTGAAAATCCCACGATATCCAAAAGTTTTCCTTTTTGCGATACTAAAAATCTCTCATAAACTTGTGGTAACAGTCAAAGCCCAGAAGTCGTGTATTCGGAACTTTTGTCAAAATAATACAGTATCCGTGCCCGGATGTGTATAACACCCGACGCGTTATAACATTGACGCATTTTATGTTAGATTACTTATCTTTATTAGTAATGGGTTTGTATATTATGAAGAATGTAATGTCCACAAGCATTATAATTGATTATGAATCCGATAATGACGTGAATTACTTTGCAATATGTTCAAGAACATAGATACATCCTTGATAAACACTTTTGATCAAGGACGCATGATTAGGCACTGACTTACAGAGATTATACCCCTTTTCCGTCAATAGTTACCATTTTCCACTTTATCGAACTAAAGCGGCATCCGAAAGCAATGCGAGAAAGTTCATTGGTCTCAAAATAGATGGAATAGTATACGTAATAGATTTCTCATACTATCAACAATCTTACATCTCGCGCCATTCAAGATTCTCAAGGCTGTGAATTATTGAACAAATAACAAATAAACTTCCTTGGATATTATTCCATTCGCAAGATCTGTTTTCTATATATGTAGCAAGTTCTTGAAAAATGGATTGAGTTCCATCATTAAAATCTCTGAAAAGATATTCTGATACAAAGTAGGAAAATCTTATATCATTTCGTTTCTAATTGTTTTCGCGGCTTATTGAAAACAATCGTCAATGACGATGAAACTGAATCTGGTGACTTACCAAAGATCTACTTGATGCTCGTTCCGCCACCCATGCCAAATAGATTTTTTGCTAATTGTGAAACACAAAAGAAAAAAAAAAGCAATTCGAAGACAAAGATGTAAAAAAGAAAGAGTCGAAATACTAACCAAACTGTTTTAATTCGGAATTTTAATCGGTCCGGAAAGTCAATAATCAGAGCCTCGACTCGGTAAATTCTGTACTTTCCGAACAGAATAAAATTTCTGCTTATGACGTGTAAAATACAGTTTTTGCACATTTTCAATTTTGTTACACATAAGCCACATTTCTTGGAATACATAATACTAGGCATACCTTGAAACAAACAAGTTTTTCTTTTGTTTGAGTCGATTCCGTGCTTGTTGCTGCCGAGCGGAATTACCAAATGTCATTGGAAAGAGTTCAATGTATTTTTCTCTGCCGAGTTTCGTGATTTTCAATAGTCAAGATTTACTTACCTCCCTTATCGAATTCTTAATTAAATAAAAGATCTCCGAATTTTGATGTACAATGCCTCCAAAAGTAACCAATTTTATTTTATTTTTTCTGTAGAGCATTATCCAATATTGTGTCTGGGAAAAAACTGCAGCTTACGCAAGAATTTTCTGAATGTAAACATGCAACATTTTTCATACCACTATACATCACGTCACTTTGTTACTACATTTTGAAATCCTATTTTATTCAGATTTGAGGTCTTTGTATAGTTATTATAAATTCATAAAGACTTTTTTTTGTATTTTTTTTTTTTTTCAATATAAAAAAAATATTTGTTAAAAAAAAAAGAAAAAAGAAAATTGTTGATATCAAGAAAGAAAACCTGGTCAATATGATTGCTAAGTGAAATGAAAAAGAATGAAATGACAGAAATAAATACTGTATAACCAGTATCTACTGTACTTTGTGTATTCCTTATCATAAAAAAATATTTAAAAACAAATTAAAAATGATAGATTAAGGGATTTGTCACGGGTAAATTAGGTTTGATTCGTTAGATTATTAATAGGTAATATAAATTGTGCAATAAGAGGCATGAATAACAAAAATTACGCAACATCAATGTATTTACCTATGACCTCAGCATCATCGTATGAGTCAGATGCAGATAGAAAAAGTAAGGCTGATTCGTAACCTGCATATGACCGAAGTGGGTCACACGATTGACAAACCAATTTTGTCAATCATTACAAAAGAATTACTTAGCAAATCCCGGTACTTTCTCGAAATTTCCAAGCCAGTTAAAATTATTATAAATAAACATTAATTTTTCAAAAAAAAATTAACGAACATAAAAAATCTCAATTTTTTAAACCAAATAAAAAATCAAAACAAATTTTTTAAATATATTCAACTGATAAAAAAATGAGCGAACAACAACAACAATCGCAAACACAGCCACAAGAGCAACAACAACGTCGTTCGAACTTTGCGGAATTTTTATTACCATTTACATTCGTAATTCGTCCGCAATCACAACAAACGCAACAACCATCTCAGGGGACAAATGGTCAACCACCATCCCCAGCAGCTATTCACTTTTTCGTCTATCCAATATACGGAGGTGAGGGTGGCGAACAAACGCCACCTTTCATCTTCTTCACACCATTTTTCGTTCCACAAGAAAATCGGAAACATGTATCTGAATCTACCATGAAGAAGTTGCCGATTATTGAAATCACCCAACAAGACATCGATGCGCAAGCAACTTGTCCAATTTGCCTGGAGGCATTCTCTTTATCATCCACCGACCAAGAGTCAAATTCGTTGCCTCAGACTGTACGGCAAATGCCCTGTAAACACACGTTTTGTGAATCGTGCTTATTCCAATGGTTGAAAGAGAATAATACTTGCCCCTTGTGTAGGAAGGAAATCGAAGCAGAGGGTACTCCGCAACAGCCGCAAAATGAACAAACTGCTGCAGAAAGTACAACCGCGTCTTCTCAAGAAGACGTGACAATGAACGATGCAAGTTTATCAACATCAACTGACTCAAACAGTTCTTCTGCATCGTTTTCTCATACTCACTCTCACTCTCATAATCATCATCAACAACAAGAAGCACCCCTCAGGTGTGCCCTAGAAAGTGTTGGTTGTTGCGGTGAATCACAGAGCAACGAAGAATCACCTACCGCTTCTCCGTTAATAACTTTACCACAATGTCACCACCAATTTCATGCCTCTTGTCTAAGGACTTCGTTGATCGTTGAAGGTTATTCTTTTGAATCGCCCAATTCTCGACCATTGGACTTTTACTGCCCTACATGTCGTTCACCGGCAATTATTCAGAGTGATGTTTTGAAGACACCATCGGTGTCATCTCCACCACAAGAACAGCAGCGACCATCATTACCAATCGTGCTTCCTTTACCACCTGATTCGGATGTGATGGATTTGGATTAAATATAATATCAAATACCAAATACCATAATACCATCAATAGACATTATTTTTTTATTGCATTTTTGACTTATCATAGACATTTTATTTCGCAAATATGCGATTTCTTGTAAAATATAAAACAAACTGACAATAGTATAATTGACTTGTAAGCGAATTTCTCATTACGACTTTCTGAACTCCTTCAAACTAAGGATCATTTTCGTAAGATTTGTAAAATATGATATTATTAATAATAATAAAAATCAAACAGCATAATTATTTTTCCCATTTTTGAAGACGTACATTAAAAGTTGTGTTCGGCTAAATTGCTTAAGTCAATCATTGCATTAAAATAATACCTGTACTCGGTTTTACTTGTATTCGGTTAAATTATGAGTCTAGGATTTAGCCGATTGGTGTCAGGCCACATTGTTTGTTCATTCTCATCAATTTTAATTATTTTAATTAATGATTGTATTTAAAAATTGGCATTGTCTAAACCTTAATAAGAAAAAAAAAAAAAAAAACGTTGGAACACATTACTAATTCTTAAATGACGCAAATTATGTACATATTTTATTACGGACTACATATAAACCAAAAAGAAAAAGAAATACTTTTTTTAACCTTGATCAAAAATCGTTATCAAGGACACTATATTCTCGTAGACACTTATTCTTCTTTTTATCATGATGAAATCAGACTTGACATCAAGTCATCAAGCTTGCATATTTAATTCCGTTTCGCTCGTATGCACGTGACCAGACCGTCGCTCGGAAAATTAGAGATCCTGTTCCCGAAAAGATGACTAATACTGTTTATTCCGATCTTCCAAAATAGTTCATTCCATGCAAACTAAACAATTCGCATGACAAATGTTTATTCCTATCGATCCCGTTTCGGTCCGGTCATCAAACGGGACTGAGTCGGACCGGTGGTTCTCACACAAGCAGATCTCGACGAGGTGTTAGTTCCTATCATCCGAGTTTGCCCTGGCGCACGATTTTTTTGAACGGGTTTAATTACGTGCAGACGTAACGATAATTAGTAATCCTTGCGTCAGTTTTATGAACGTTCTAGAAGATTTTCTCACTAGGAGAAATAAAGTTATAAAAACGATCCAAATTTTCTTCTCGTTTACTCAATATTTTTTTCCCATCGACATCATGGCTTTAATCGAGATTTCAAGAGATTACGGATACGTACGTATATACACACGTTCTTTACTCCAAGGATATTTTTGAATTAAAATTATTTTATTCTTTATCACAGGTGATCGTTACTGGCATCGCCTCGTTGTTCATGACCACTTACCTCGGTGTTAAAGTGGGTTCCGCTCGAAAGAAGGCGATGGTCCCTTATCCTAATAGTAAGTGTCACTTAATCAGATCGTCATTCCCCCCTTCTTGATCATTAACTTATTCATTCTTGGAAAAACCAAATCTTCCCAGTGTACGCTAGCCGAGAAGAATCAGAAAAGGATCGCAATAAATTGATCTTCAATTGTTATCAAAGAGCTCACCAGGTGATTACATTTTTTCATTTATATTATCCCTCTGTTCGCATTACTAATCGATTCCTCATGTATGTACTGTATGTTTAGAATACCCTTGAAAACTATCCACAGTTTCTTTTCACGTATGTTTTTATTATTTTCTCTCCACCTATCTGCAATGCTTTTCTCACATTAGACACGTGAACTGATGATTACTATTTCTGTAGTCTCCTGATAGGCGGTTTGAAATACCCACTTCTTTCGTCAATTGGTGGTGGAATCTACATTTTAGGTACGTTGATCATGTCCAGTTTATTCGTGTCACAGATTATTTATGTATCTCATTTATTCAGGTCGCCTGATGTACGCTTGGGGTTATCAGACTGGTGATCCAACTAAAAGGCATCGAGGTACATTCGGTTACATCGGTACTTTGATATTAGGCGGTACCTCGATTGCCACAGCCGTTAGTTTATTAACTTAATAACCAATATTGTATAGAAAATGCATAGCTAGAACACGCCTTTGAGTTTTTCCATTAAAATAAATGACAGACTATACATATTCATTTTTTTTTATAGTTTTTTTTTTAATAATTTAGAAATTTTTCGTAGTCTTCCAATCATCTTTGAGTTATGTTACGTAATGTCAAACGTTTATTAAAAGTTGCAAGTGGTTTCACACGAACGTTATTCATGAATTTCAACGATGACACCTGAAAACAGATTATCATTATATGTTGTATACACACTCGGATAAAAATTCACAAAAAAAAAAATGTTTTCTTACCAGTTCCAACTGTTTTACCTCCTTCACGGATTGTAAATCTCATCCCAGTCTCGACTGCCATGTCGTGAATAAGTTCACATTCCAATGTAGTATTGTCCCCTGGCATAACAAATTTTTCTTCTGGTT